CAATTTTTCCAAATTTTTCCTGGGATGCGCTTCGGGCGTAGCTACCGAGGGAGCCATCGTCTAGAGTTGCACTACTTACGGCTGTTGGTACATGATGGCGAACAAATTGATTAGGGCTCTGTTCGTATACAGTTTGGCTTTGATTTATGGCTTTATGGTATGTGTAGTTATATTGTTGAGGGCTATTTGGAACCTTGAAATACCGACAAGGGGAAAGCGACGAGAAAAACGTAAGTAACGATCGGTGAATTTGCACCGGTTCAGCGAACCTGATCTGTTGTGCAGGTATATCTGATGTCAATTCGGTCAGATTTTTGCGTTTAATAGTGCTCACTACAGCAGGGACCCTTCCAACTATTAGCTTTACATCAATTTATGCGATATTAAAGCTGCTGGCTAATTTGCTCCCCCTTCCGGCGGTCCTGTGGCTGTGGAATCGACTTGTAAGCGAAACGACCCGTTTCTTGTGGCAGCTGTCCTCATTTAAGAGGCACGAAGAAATTAAGGAAAGCGCGCGATCTAGCTGTCAGCTAAGCTCACGTTCTTTTGCTTGTTGAACGTTGTATATATACAAAGTTCAAAAAAATGGAATGACCCTCACGCGATACAAACGGCTTATCTACAAAATACTGAATACAAAATATAAATTCCTTTGGGCCGTACCCTGCGAGCAGAGGGTTCGCATGGCTTTTAGCTTTACCAAGTCAGTGGCGTAGTAGGTTTGTTTACTCGCTGAAAACCTCTACAGCGAGCCGCTTGTTATTTCCGTTGTGCATGTGTTACGAGTTAGCGACAAGAGGAATATTTAGTTCGCTGACTAAACGTAAGGAACGCAGCAGGGTTTTCGGAACAGTGACAGGATGAGTTATTCCAAAAATGAACGTGACATCACAACGGTACCTCTACGACATAACTCACAACTCTGGACTTGTAAACGATGAACACGGCCTCCGCCAAAAACTGAACCCACGAACCTGATCAAAACGAGTGTTCTTGTTTATATGCGAAGTCGAGTTCTAGAACGTTCGAACAGGTCTAATAATAGTACGCTCACTGAGCTCCTAAAATAAACAATCTGAGCCGAATAGTCATGCAATGTCACGCTAGTCACGCTAGACAATTTTTCGCAACATACGGCCCCCTCTTGAGAAGAAACAGGAACAGAAAAATTGTTAAATTGATGGCTTCTACCTTGAAATTGTACCTTTGTGGGAACATTACCCATCGCATGAGTTGTGCGTTAGCATGTCTTGCTAACGGTTAGTGGACTGTCTACAACACATATGGTACTCCATACAAGTATAAATGAAATCTCTTGTTTCCCCACACAATTGCAATTAAGTCACTCTTTCTCGATTGTACATTTAGAGTCGCTGCACTTTGTGCTTAACAATTTCTTGCTGGCTAATGACTGTAAAGGAGTTGATGTTTTCATGATCATTTCTCTACAGCTCCTTCGTGCCTTCTTGACCCTGAGCTTGGTGAACACCATTTCCTGAGAACAGCATCAAATATCAGGATCCATTATGTTGCTAAAGGAGACACAGGCAAACAACTTATGCTGTGTCTTCATGGGTTCCCTGAGGTAATGTTAACAATGCTGCTTCTGTTTGTTTTCACAGCCTCTGCATCCATAGATGTTAAATAAATGTACATTAAAACTATCAAAAAGTTAAAAAAGTGACAATTAAATAATCTTGCCATTTCAGGTCTATACTAGCTAGCCTGCGCCACAAAACCGATGAATCAAAACTCTAGTTAAGTCTGTCTGTGAAACAGCACCAAAATCTTTGTTCTGGGCTCCACACCAGGATTTGAGTACATGCCATGATAATGGCTTGTTAAGAACGTCATTGTAGATTTGCCAATCTGGGTATGAAAGAAAATTTGAAACACGTTTCTGAAAATTTTTTGAGTCTGTTGGGGGCACTGAACATTAGGATCTGGGTGCTGCTTTGCAGACATTACTAACTGAGGTTGAATTGCGTCTGCAACGCACAGGCTTACAGTACAAGGGTTAACTTGCTACGATGTATAAAAGATTTAAATAGCATATGAGTTAGTAAGCAAATTGCTTAATAGACAATGTAAAATAATTACTATTAATATATTGGCCTTAAGAACCACTGACCCTGTTTTTCTGTTTTAAATAAATCACTTTGCAGTTTTGGTATTCCTGGCGATATCAGCTGAAAGCCTTTAGTGATAATTTCCGGGTGGTTGCAGTGGATTTGAGGTACTCCAAAACTATAATCATTTATTATTAAAAGCCTAAGAAAAATGTCACATCAAGAATTTTCTCTGGCAGTGCCCTGTGGCCCCTGGCACTCTTAGGCAACAAGGAAATCTTGGTTTTTTCATGCAAAACACTACGCTAACACACTGGATTTCATAGATTTTATAGAGCAACAGGGTAATATCAGTTCCTCTTATAGTGCACTACCCTTGACATTAATTTATACCATACATGTAATTCAAAAGCTTTGGGGAGAATGCATGGATACAAGCTTGATCCAGCACAATNACGCTAACACACTGGATTTCATAGATTTTATAGAGCAACAGGGTAATATCAGTTCCTCTTATAGTGCACTACCCTTGACATTAATTTATACCATACATGTAATTCAAAAGCTTTGGGGAGAATGCATGGATACAAGCTTGATCCAGCACAATGATTTCTTGAATCATTCGGGTGAACAAAGCATCTTATGATATTAGACATCAGTGACAGTTGCCTTGATCACCATTGTCCAATCATAGCTAACATGTGTCCACCCTAATGATCCAAGAAATCACTGCACTGAAAATTTTGGAAACATAACTTTTGTTTTAGGGGCTATGGTGAAAGTGACAGTCCCAAAGGGCGAGAACACTACAAGACGTCATTACTGGTTAACGATATTAAAGAAATCGTAAGTGCACTTACATGTATTACTGAAACAGCAGATTGAATGAAGAATTTAAATACAAAACTTTTGAGGTTATATATCAAGCATGAGAAGTAATTTTTCATCACCACAGGAAACACTGACAAGAGAGTTGAAAATACAATGGGCAGCAGAGTATTTTTGACGAACTTCGAGGTGTTCCATCTGGTGATGAAACACTGTCGAATGCTTGATATATTATTTACTTCTCAAACAAAATGATTTTAGAAGGAGAAATAAATTAAGGATGCAAAAATGAGGAGTTTTTTTTCTGATTTCCAAACTGCCATTAAACTTTAATGTCCTTTGTATTTTCTTTATGAATTTTTGATGAGTTTGAGAAGTTGGATGACAATTTGTGTATAATAAACAAATTATTTTGTGGATTCAAAGTCTTTTAATAAAAGTAAATGCTTTAGAAAATTAGGAATCAAAAATAAAAATGAATAGAAAAAATATTAAATATAAAAGCGAATAAGAATAATGAAAATATTATTTTCCTTGGCTGTCTGTACAGCTTTGAGTACATTAATTGTTTAATTCGATTTAATGACAACCATTATGCCAATTTCATAATAATTTATTATAATGTATTTTTATTATTGCATTAACTGCATTGTTAAAAAAAAATAAATGCTGGGGAGATAATCACCGCAATTTTTTTTGCACAGCAATGGGTTAAAAGAAATTGTTTTTTCAAGTATTTCATAGCAGCACCCTTTATATCTAGAGGATGCAAACTCTTAAAAGATTAACATTTTTTTAAAAATTTTTCACAGATTGAGGCACTTGGATACACGTCTTGCACTTTGTTGAGTCATGACTGGGGTGGAGCCTTGGCGTGGTAAGGCGGCCACTGCACCATAATAATCCTTTAACTCTCAAGATGTGATCAACATCAATTTTCTGATGTGAAGATACATTAGACATGACTAGAACAGCAAGAGCAAACTGATGTTAGAGTTCAACGCTAATATTAATAATATTTTATTTGTTGTTGTAAAATTAAGTGTACTGTGAGCAGCCCATGAGAAGAAGGCAGGTAGAGAAGGTGAACCTTTCTATTTGCGTCACTGTATGCTTCCCTCTGGTCGTTAATTTATTCTCTGCAGCCCTGCAAAGGGTTAATGCTAATGAGCACCTGTGCCATCTTATAGGAGAAACCCTAGCAGCAAAGGTTTTTGCGGCAGTGGGTTTGTTTAGTCAGGGGGTATCTACTTTGATAAATCTTTTTCTCTTTGTTTTAACTTCAGGACGTTTGCCCACATGCATCCAGAGTTTGTAGACAAATTGATAGCTTGCAACATACCATACCCTAGGTTAGTACCAGCTAGCACTTATTAGGCTGACTTATCAACAGAACCGGAAAGTCGGTTGACGACGGTGCACGTACGTACGAACCAAAATTTTTTCGATGTATAGATAACCATATTTCTTTCCCATGGTGCTTTGCTGTATGCATGACGGCTCTGCTCTAAAGTTTACTACTATATACTGTGTCGCCTGTGTCACTAATTCTTAAACCGTAAAAATTTGGAATAGCGACATGTGCCTATTGCGGTACGTATAAGATGTATGGGCTCAATCCCGTTTATTTGGAGAAAACCTTTGCCAGGTAGTAGAATCAACCTCCCAAAAAAAAGCTTTAGCTTTATTATTATGAGAAAAAGGTTGAACCAGGTTGGCCAATAGCGCTGGTGCATGCTCTTATTGCCCAAACAGGCGCTAGACAAGCGGAATCGTTTACATGGAAAAAATTTGGCCTGGCCAGGAGGTTAACCCTACCATCACAACTGACGGTGGCCTAGTTCAAGGCGGGTAAACCTTCCAGGTGTAGCCTGTACACAGACGTTGTTTTATTTTTCTCGTCGTTTTCGATAAACCCTCTGCGGTTTCTGTCTTTTATTACGCGCGCTCGACGGTCTTTAAAGAGAAAATAGAGGCCTGTGAACAGGCTATTCTAGCTTAGCCAACTTTTTGCGTCTCGTGTAAACAGTGTAAACGGTTCGTCATGTTTTGTAAGGAAATGTTTGAAAAGTTGGCTCGTTCAGGGTAGCTCGTGTAGGCGGGTGACCCTTCAACCTGGATAAACTTTTCTCCATATAAACAGGGCCTAATGCATATCTGTTTCTCTCCATCAGATGCTTTTTCCAGCCGTCCAAACCACAGTTCTTTCGCACTTGGGTAAGAGAAACTTTGGTCATTGGTACCTGTATNTGCTGGACAAGCGAAATTGTTTACATGGAGGTTACCCCTACCATCACAAAACGGTGGCCTAGTTCAAGGCGGGTAAACCTTCTAGCTTTAGCCTGTACACAGACGTTGTTTTATTTTTCTCGTCGTTGTCGATAAACCCTCCGCGGTTTCTTTTATTTATCACGCGCGCTCGACGGACTGTAAAGAGAAAATAGAGGCGTGTGAACAGGCTATTCTAGCTCAACCAACTTTTTGCGTCTCGTGTAAACAGTGTAAACGGTTCGTCATGTTTTGTAAGGAAATGTTTGAAAAGTTGGCTCGCTCAGGGTAGCTCGTGTAGGCGGGTGACCCTTCAACCCTGATAAACTTTTCTCCATATAAACAGGGCCTAATGCATATCTGTTTCTCTCCATCAGATGCTTTTTCCAGCCGTCCAAACCACAGTTCTTTCGCACTTGGGTAAGAGAAACTTTGGTCATTGGTACCTGTATACACTGTTAAGTAATATCACGCGCTGAGTACATTTTACGAGTCCCCATTCCAAATCACTTAGGAAAACTCCTTTCAGTGGAAAATTAGCCGGCGGGCGCTGGGTCGCCCGAATTTCCCCTCGCTGCCTTGAAAAATTAGTTGAGAAAAGATCAGAGCAATTTTTCCTTTAGTGATGATTATTTACTAATTCTCTTAACCTTTCTACTTGATTATGTATTGACATGGTTACTAAGGAGAAAATTAACGTTGATCACTTTTGGGACTTAAAGGGTTGAGACGAGTTATAATTCTTGTTTTTCAGTACTTCTGTTACATTCAATTGCCATACCTTCCTGAGTTCGAGACGGAGGTGAATGACTACAGGATTTTAAGCACGGCTTTTAAGGTACTATACTGTGCAAATATTTGAGACCACAGTCAACCTTGGAGACCATACATGTAGCGAAAACGGCTCTTTATAAAGTACAGTCGCGTTCTTTTTAGTCTGAAATGTCATGCGTCTCCACCCCCTAACCCCTAACCCTTGGGCTCCGTGAAACGTCGCATTGGAATTAAGGAAGTTTCACTCTTTTACTGACAGCACGAAATGTACTTACTTAAAAGTGTCTTGCACGTCTAAAGTTGCGTCATGTGACCTCGAAGTAACCATTAAGAGCGCGCGCTGTTGGAAAGAAATTGCCAGCTCTATAGCAATGTTTGCGCCTCTTGCGTTCTCAACTTGTTACCGAACTGATTTTAGTGTTGCAAGTTACGGTAACAGTTGCAGAACTGAGTAGACCCGAATTCTACTTTTTCGGCACGCATTGCAGCGCCTTTGGTTGTTTGATGTTCTTGTTTTTGCCGCCGTACTTTATCATAGAAATCGTAGTTAACTTGGTTAAATTGAGAGCTAACAAACTATCACATTTGTTCCTTTGTTTTTACAAGGACGTGGGTTTCGCAGATGAAGAGGTGGAAGCTTATAAGTACGCTTTGAGTCAGAACGGTCTCAGTGGTCCTTTGAACTATTACAGAAATGCAGTGTTACCTGATGCACCTTGGGGACTGTTAAACACCAAGATAAAGGCCCCAACTCTTGTTGTATGGGTATGTAGATAAAGGGTACATGTAGCTGCACCCTGACCCCTCCCTCCCGAAATTTTACCTTCTTTAGGGGAAGGGTGCGGCAGCACGTATAGGCTAGAGTAGATATGACCAGACCAAAGTTCTTCTCTTCCCATGAGCCTCATTGCTGCCTTTGCCTTAAGGATGCTGGGAAGCAATCTCTTCTCCAGGGTGTCTCGTCTTTCTGGGAACGAGACTTGCTGGGAAGAGGGGACAAAAGAAAGCCCACTGGGGGCAATGGGAAGGGGGGAAATAGAAACTATCTTCAATTTTCCATCGAGAGCAATCGAAAGCTGAAGATTTTAAAATTCAGTTAGTTTTTATCCTTCTTGGTAATATTACGTGTATTAACGAGTCTTTTTTTAAAATCATTTTTAGGGCACGGCGGATACGTTTATTACTCTTGATACCTTGGAAGGAACAGAGGAATATGTTGAAGATTTGACAATCAAGTAAAGAAATCACTGTATTTGTCTGTTACAAATGTTCCGTTGAAACCAAATATCGACTGATGACCTGATGCACCGACTGATGGTTCTAGGGAGCTAATAACGTTGTTGCGACATCGTTTCG